GGCACAAAAGTCATTAATCAGCGTAGCGATGATGTGTCGCGCAACCCGAAGCATTATTTTGGTAACAAACGATGTACGTTTTGCAAATGTTGTTTCGGAGTAAGTCAGTTCATTATGACATAGCAAACCAAACTGAGTATAATTCAAATAACAGCTATCAAAAAGACCAACTCCGAAGAAAGTATTGCCTCATTTAAAACTACACGTCTAAAATCACACCCTATATTCAATGTATTCAACTATTTAAAAACACATATTCACAGCGATAAAGCGTTAATCATTGAATGACGAATTACATTATGGTCAAAGTGAATCGTCAATTCAACCGCCTGAAAACAAGAATTTTTGCTTTGCCACTTTGTCATATTAGCACTACGGAATCTTTTTGCCCCTTAACTTAACTGAATTCAATTATTATTTAACATTTACAGTGGATGACGTGATTTGCATACCTGAAACGTATGAAATTGTTAGTTGCTTAAGATACTCGCACATAAATGTATGTACACAAACGAATTATATGTTTACAAATATACACTGTTCCTTGGTTATACACACTTGCATGCATACACACATATGTATTTGCGCATGTTTGCTTGAACCTTTGACCGGTGGAGATTTTGTGCCAAGTTGACGGCATTATGCTCCTTTGCGATGAACTTTGCGATGGGAATGTTTAAACAAATAAATTCGCTAAATCAGAATTACATTTGTATGTATATGAATACATATGCAAATTCGTATACATATATTACTTCAGTAGACATTATCATCAAAATAAAACAGAACATATAGTACATAGTTATTCTCCTTTGGTCCGCTGAAATTATATGCAAATATTTGAAAATCGGTCTACATCTTTTCTTAGATTTCATAAACTTTTATTCTTCCACCATAATACCGGTTAATATAAGAGATATCTTGGACATTAAAATGTGTCATGTATTTGTATATAGTATGTACATAGGAAGAGGAAAGGAAGAGGAAGACCTCCACTCCGTTGGAAGGACCAAGTGGAGAAGGACCTGGCTTCACTTGGAATATCTAATTGGCGCCACGTAGCGAAAAGAAAAAACGACTGGCGCGCTGTTGTTAACTCGGCTATAATCGCGTAAGCGGTGWCTACGCCAATCAAGAAGAAGAAGAATGGATGAGTCACTGGATGGAAAATNATTGGCGCCACGTAGCGAAAAGAAGAAACGACTGGCGCGCTGTTGTTAACTCGGCTATAATCGCGTAAGCGGTGACTACGCCAATCAAGAAGAAGAAGATGTACATACATACATACGTATGTATATCGATCAGTCCATAAGATGTCTAAAGAAAATAGAATAGTAATGTGTTCGACTTTTAGTATACATATACTTTTCTAAAAAAATAAATAATGTATGAATGAATGTCTTAGAATTTTTTAGAGTGTAAAATTTTTGGCTATGACAGAAAGTGGTTCTTCCCTACAATTTCCCTTTAAATTTAAGTATTTGTTTTGTAATATTTATCCATATGATGTTGCTGCATGTCCGTGAATGCTGAGACCTTATGACAGTAGTTGACTAACTTACCATACCAATGTCAATCCATTAACACTAAGGCAGCTATCTCACTGGCCTCGGCGGAGATACCGAGATACGGCCACTTAAACTGTGGTAGCGAGATAAAATATAATTGAAAATTACCGCTATATCCAAGAGAGATACTAGAAAGAGCAATACGATAATTCGTTTTATTTAACACTTGTCGACGTCATATATTCATTCTGTTTTCGTTAACTGTAAAATTTTGCATGCTTCTTCAGAATAATAAAAAAAATTTGCACTTGCTCATATTTTAGAAAAAATTAAATAAAAGTTTTGTAGATTTTCATTTTCGGCGTTTGTCAAAAGTTTTAGATTCACATAGATACGTTTTGGAAACATCGGTGTTCTAAAAAGTAATTTAATGACAAATGTACAAAGAGATAACATCGCTATGTTGTAATCTGTCTTTCTAATGGATTTAGGCGACGTTATGAACTGATAAGGGGAAAAATCTAATCGTCATTTATGATTTGATATACATAATTTGACCGAAAATTTAACGTTCAATTTGAAAGACATAACAGTGCTGCGGATAATATTTGTATACTAATGTACTTTGTAATGACAATGTTGCAGCACAAATAAAATAACAAATTATCAAACTTCCAATTTTAATTAGCAGTTATTTGGCGCGTTCAATACAATTATAACCGTGCCAAGTATTTATGTATGTATGTATACTATGAATGTAAAAAGTTCCGACAGAATTCAGTCGAAAGTCAAAGTCAAAACCAACTGTCTAACCTAGTTTTCGTGCAAGTCAAGCCGAAGTATGGCGATCATTTCAAGTAAAAACAGGCTATTAAAAACGTATCGAGTGCTTTTAACGGTTTTTAAACTTCAATTCATTATGCAAATTGTTAGTGCGATTGAAGTATACACAAGTATGTATTGTTTGCACTCATTTTTATTTAGGATTGGGCCACCGTTAGAACAGGTGATAGCTGCGTTATATCAGATTCGACTTTTCCTCTTGTAGTCACATCTTTTTTTTAATTTTGATAAATGGTCCATACTTGATAATAATCAGTATTGTTCTATAACGTAGAAAACAAGTTGTCATTTGCATTATATTTTCTTCGTATATCGAACCTTAACTAAGTGAAAGTGAAAACATACACATGTACATCTCTTAGAAACCAATTAGAAAACATATAACATAAAAACTAATATTTTATTTTTTATATTATATAATATTACAATTAGCGTATTCAAGATTTATCGACTATGCTTTACTATTTATATAAGAAGAACCAATTATTATTGTGTTGCTTGGGGGGTATTTGAATATTTTTACATTAGAACGCCCAGCGGTCATGTGAAATTTACATTTTCATCAAAACGCGTTGCCTGCGATGTACCGTTTTGTGTGCGCGCAAAATGTGCTGTGTGGATGGCAAGGTGGTGAATCGCCGTTGTTCAGTAATGAGAGATTGGTGCTGTAACTTACGGATGGACAATGTCTCATTATACATTGATATACATATATGTATGTACTCGTATGTATGTGCATACATGCCTACTTATACGCGTATAGAAAGCGGCACGCTGTAATTGGTGATGCATTTTTTAACTGCCGATGTTGACAGTTCTGTGCAATTTAGCGGGAATACATAATTGTACCTTCGCTCAAACACCGTACTAAGCCCACATAAGTATTCCCGTTGTTAACCGCTTTTTTGTTGCCAATTCGCTGTATGCTTCATCTTATAATATCAAACGCTTAACCCACGGCCGAGCATTAAAATGCAGTGATCACACATTAGTGTAATAATTAATCAGTTATAATTAGCATTTTTGCTACCATAAAATATTATTATATAAAATTACAGATCGCTTTAATATCAATATACTATTTATTTATTTCGTTTGGGTGTAGAAATGTTTTGTATGCCCGAGGAATGTCTACTAATGAACATTAGATGATTGGACAATATATAAGGTGTATTCCAAAGTAAACAGGACTGAATCTAACGACTTGATGAAAAAAGTTTGAATAAAATAAATTGATTTTGCCGAAAAAACCATTTTTTTTTGTTTAATGTCCTGTTTACTTTGGAATGCACCTTGTATACTTGATTAACTTTAATGGTTCCAAAACTTATGTATTGTTTACCAAAAATTACCTTATAATTATAATTGCGGATTTAATTGTCAAAACTATTCAAGCTAAGTAAACAATTGCTGGTAGGAACCTTGTCTTAGATACCCCTATGGAACCAGAATCGGCAAAAATGGAATTGTCAAGAAGAACTTCCATATAGCGGTATGGCTTGAAACTCTAAAAGCAAGATAACTTTCATGGGAAACAGACCGGGATATGACACAAGTACATTCCACTCATTTAGGTGGAAGTCTGTACCCACTTTACGCTAGAAATTAATAAAGGAACAAACAAAAGTTGATTTTGAGGGTATAGTTAACGGCGCTGTCGTAATCATCACCTATGAAACTCGGAATTTTTAAAGTTTTTCTATACTTGTATAAAACGGTCGGTTCTCAAGGCTATTCCGTGTCGCCTTCTATGCTTGAAAATCGAGCTGGTAGCGCTGCATCGACGCAGAAGAAGCTTATTTTTCAAGTTTTTAAAGAATTGTAACGATTAGTTCAATAATTTTTTTTATATCGACTCAGTCCTTTTACTTTTCGGACCAACCCTGTAGTCTAAAATAAATATTTTTGAAAGTCCTTCTAAATGAAGAACCTTATACAGAAGGGAAAAGGTCTCTTATATACCAATTAAGTCTTTCTAACAAATGCATGTACCATATATTTTATTTAAAGCAAACGATCAAAGTGTCATAATGATTGAGTAAATAATAGTTGGTAATTGAAGATATTTTATTGTATTTAATTTTTAAAAGAAGATTGATTTGATACAGAAATTTACTTAAAGTACCATACACACACACATTTATAATTTTCCAAAAAAGTTTAGCAAACTTGTTAATAACAGAGCCAGTTTTCTCACGGGGTATTTTCGTATGGTTACACGAAAGGTATATGTATATAATCTCTGATGAATATGTGTGGCTGTTGCATTTGTAAGCCAACGTGTTTGCGATCTACAGACCGGACCTGATAGTGTTTGTAGCTAGGCCTGGTAGACTTGTGTGCGGCTAGGATGGCGGCTTCGGTGAGTGAGCGCCGGTTCCGCGACTGAGTAGCTTGTGGCGCGAAACATTCAGTTTGCATTAAGCCAGAGAGCCGGTCGGACGCGTTTCTTAGTTTCTTCGAGCCTTCAGTGTACGTGTGTTAGCATTACTTTTGTTTTTATTTGACTTTTCTATTCGGCTGTCTATTTAAGTGTTCGTATATTTGTTAGCTCATCATCGTCGTAGTTTTAGGAGTGTGTGATCTCCAGCTGTCTACTGGTGCAATCCGCCTTGTATGCCCGAGTGTGTTCCTTTTATTTCTTATTCGGATACAATTTAGTGGACGTACAAACGTCCGAACTTCGAACTAAAATATCAAATACAAAACTCAATTCGCCTAATGTTTCGTAACATCCGCAGAGCCTTTGTTTCAAATTCTAATAGTCACGCAATCCTCACCTACATACTGTTTGAATTAATTATACGCATATTTATATGGATATATACTATGTATGCGTATGTTCTTAATAAATATTGACGTAATTCGGCAAAGGCTTTCCTATATGTTTGGTAGTTTCGATGGATATTCGGTGAAGCGAAGAGTTGTGAATTCAAAGTGTAATTACAGTTTATTTCTAAAACTTATTATCGTTTCAAGGTTTCAACACTACAGTACAAAAAATAATGAAAACCCGCTGAATAATCAATGGCTTTGTGTGTAGTGAAAATAAAATATAATAAAATCCCCCCGCGAATATACGGCAGCAAAGCTCCCGTTCCCATATTTGTAAACTTCATTTTCATATTTTCTTCTCTAATATAAGTAATTTCTTAATGATTAAAAAATGGATTTCTGGTTGCAGCGTTTATAATTCCAACTATAAAATGATCGGCAATAGAGTATGGCGAGCTTTAAGTCTCACCTGTTTCATTGGAGTAGCGATATCATCATGTGGACTAGCTCAAGCAAAAGGTGAGAAAACAAATTGACTCGAAGTAGCTTTTTAAGTGTATTTAATAGTGTTCTCTGTTTTCGTTCTTTACTATTTTCTGTATTTAATTGTGGCGCTGCTGTCATTAAGCGTCGAACACCAAGTGTTTAAATTGTGATCGTGATGTTCTTGTGTAAAATATACATATCTGAAAAAAGAGTAAAAAACAAAGTATTAGCGTAAATTTCGAAAAAATCCAATCCTATATAGAAATAATATTTGAGTTTTATAAAATGAAATGTGTGGCATGGCTGCAGATAACGCGACTGCTATGAATATCGGTTTTATCCACCTAATTTTAAGTGAAATGCCACAAAATACCAAACGTTAAAATTCTTAATAAAGGAATCAGATTTGATCACTGTTTTGGAAGTATTATTCAGATCAAATAGAAAGATACACAATCAAGACGTCATCAAAATAATATTTTTTTTAAAATAAATTATCAAATCTTATTAATAATATATGGGGAAAAGGATTATGCAAATGCCTTTTGAAACTTTTCACCGGAGTAAGTTGTGCAATTAAAATTATGACAATTGTTTGTTTTGCTATGACAATGAAATTTTTGTTGTTTTTACTCAAGTTGATAGGAACAATTTTTTCTAACTGGTTACTCGTCGTCAAAGAAGGCAAATTTAAAATGATTAGACGGGAGGGAGCGGTTAAAATTTCCGAAACCCCGTATAATCACTCTCTTGCAGTTTACCAAACTTAATTTCGTATTTCAGTTTCAAATACAGCCAGAATTTGCTCGCGAGAGCATGAGAAATATGCGACGTTGTCCGATTTGCAATGCCACTTCAACAATTTCATATATTCACATAAGATTTAAGGTGGAGTTGGCAGACGTAAAACTTGTTTCGCAGTCTACACACTGCACAAAGCCTCGTTACTTGAAAATTACTCGCTGGAAACTCGTAGATCTACTAATACGCTTACCGCACATTCAAATCCATATATAGAAACGCCTATTAATAATGTGCATATGCACACCATATACTCGCACACACTTACACACACATACGAATATATATATGTAGGGTGTGTGTAGATTTGTACATTTGTGTTATTGTGTTGTGCGCACTCCAACGCTACATGATGTCATAATTCACGCGAAAAGCAAAAACAGAAGAAGTGAAAAGCATTAAAGTAGTCTAAAAAAGCTGACCTCGTTATTTTCCTGACTCTCTGCTGATCGTTTAGTGGAATTGATTTACCACATTCAGGCGGAAAATGTATTGTACTTGCTCAAGTGGTGTATCATTATGTAAATAGCTTTCTCCGTTCACAAGTGTGGCCATACACACAACAACAAGTAACGCAATTTGGGTTGACATCGACGCGAATCGGTAACATTACACTCCATTCAATTACACAAAATATTCACGCGATAATACATACTCATATTTATATATTCTCTAGTATGTGGTTATAAGTTTGGTTTATGTTATGTCTGGCATTCAAGTTGGCGATGAGCAAGGCAAAATAAACAAAAGACTTAGGCGACGAACTTGACTGAAAAAGAACACCAACTAAATATACTGCGTGACAAGGCCTTGAGATGCCATATTTATACATATTCACTTAAATGCGCTGAGCAGCTCAGTATGACATAATTTCTATATACACAAATAATTGTTGCCTTTGTTGTGTTTACAAGTGCATATGTCATGTCTCCAACATTTACAGATTATAATGATTCAGCGTTGGACATCATAAACGAATAAAAGAAATCATCAATGTGAAATGAAGTTGCTTATTGACACGTACCTACGCTAATTCATAAAGTTATATGTACCAAAGTGTATTTATAATAAGAACGTTAGTGGAAGAGATCTCGCGAATTAATTAAAACCGCAAAATTTGTTCTTTGCGTGTGTGAGCGGTTGGCAAAGCCACGCAACGGATTATTTTGCCAAAGTATCTTAGAAATTACTTGCACAAGCACGCTTAAGCTACAACTACATACTTAAGTAGACTACTCATCGGCAGGTTGTGTGGGCGAACTTGTGCTGGCAGAGATTGTTGTCTAAAGATAAATGCGAATAAAGAGAATTGAATTGCTTGAAAGTTATAATGACAACCGTGCTGAATGTGTGTTGGCGAATCCAGTCATAGCCAAGTCTAGAGCGAATGACTACAAGCCACCTTCATGTCCAATAATGATGATGACTTTGGGAAGTCGTAATGGGTGGGGAATTGTGTGTGATTGCGAAAGTAAATGGCCAGCACGTGCACAGTGGACAAGTTGTGGAGGAACCCATGAAAAAGTATCTATTAGCCGAATATGTTTACCCTCAGTTCGAATTTCCAACGTGATGAAATATGGTATTCATTCGCAAGTAGATGATGTTGTTTGTTAGTAGTAAAATATTGAGGAGCATTTTGCGAATTAAGAGAGAAACTAAGTTGACTTATACCTTCGGATGGTTTGGAATATATTTATAGTGTATGTAAAACCATATAGAATTTATTGTATTCAGGAGCATTTTTTCGAAAACATTATATACAAGGTTAATCACCAGTGTTCTCTTGTATGAAAAATAAATTTTGTTTTTTAGACATTAAACTCCTTAGAGTTAATTATTAGTTCTAAGGAACTTTTTTTTACGAATTTGCAAGGACTAAAATAACGAATTTGTTTCGTTTTGTGAGTATATTTTCTTAATGATTACCGCGTACATTTGAAACAGATTTTTTAAAGATATCAGAAATGAAAGTCGTCTTAGCTGTTATCCATTATATTCAAAGTCATCTAAAGTATGTTTCTACGAAGTTTGATGGATTAAAAAAATTAGATTTTATATAGAATCTTACGAGTTATATAATCGTATATTGCTTAGACGCTAAAACTCGCATCGACTTCTAGTGTTCCCAGTCTCGTCACTTTCAATGTTACTTTAAAATTAAAGTGTAGTCTTTTGTTGCAAATAATATTATATAGCACTTCATCTTCAACGAAGTGGTTGTAAGAATATCCGACTTAGTTCAAAGCTTTGATTAACTAAACTATTGTGAATGAGCTAGCAACTTTTTGTTTGTCACAGCACATAATTTACTTAGAAAACCAACAACCCTGCACATGTGCAAGAATCTCTATAATTGACGTCATTGCCTTCTACCAAACTAGTCTTTCTAATTCTACTTTGTTATTAAGTTCAGAGAAATACCATTCAAGTGTTTGGGCTTCGTTTATCATGTTTCCATTATCCAATGGAAGCATTTTCACCCGAGTCCCAAAAAATACCAGTTAAACTAACTATCCGATTTTTGTGTTTATGGGCCTTAAGAAATGTCATTGGACGTTCACCCATTTCTGACATATGGTATGTCATGAAACTTTAAGACAGGTTTTTTATTTGTGTCGCGAACCATGTAGAAAAAGTATTTAAAAGCAGGTCAGATCACCTGATCGTAAAGCTGAACATAATGGATAAAACAAAGGAGCAATCCTTTTGGAAATGATTTCTTTACCGAAAACTTTAATGATTAACTATATATTATACTTCTTATTTATATATGCTATTTACAAAATTTTGGTACTGGAATGGTATTAGATCAATTAAAAAAAAAACTAAAGCAAATTAAGTTATCTTCAATTTTAGATATTACTCATATTGGAAATATTTAACATATATGAAAATAGTTTGCATACAGCTGTTAATTTTTCTGAAGACTGCCTTCTCCTTGAATACTACACCGAGATGATAATCTTGCTGGTGGTGGTCGTGGTTAACCCAGTGCCCGATTAACGATTTTGACGCATTTTTGTTTTGCTAGATTTAGAAATTCTCGACAAACAGTTATATCTGCAGAAATAATTTTTACAAGAAGAAAGTAAATTTCAATTTCATGAATTGAAGTTTGTTTCATGAAATCCAATTGTAACATCGACGGTAATTTTGCAAAAACGGCTTCCATTAGGACCTTAGGTTAARGTTTCTTCTTCTTCTTGATTGGCGTAGTCACCGCTAATGCGATTATAGCCGAGTTAACAACCGTGCGCCAGTCGTTTCTTCTTTTCGCTACGTGGCGCCAATTAGATATTCCAAGTGAAGCGGCTTCCCCCGGCGGGTACTGCGTCGAATACTTCAGAGCTGGAGTGTTTTCGTCYATCCGGACAACATGACCTAGCCAGCGTAGACGCTGTCTTTTAATTCGCTGAACTATGTCAATGTCGTCGTATATCTCGCACAGCTCATCGTTACATCAAATGCGATACTCGCCGTGGCCAAAGCGCAAAGGACCATAAATCTTTCGTAGAAGGTTCTCTCGAAAACTCGCAACGTCGATCATCCGTTGTTGACATCGTCCAAGCCAACAACGCACCATATAGCAGGACGGGAATTATGAGTGACTTATAGAGTTTGGTTTTTGTTTGTCGAGAGAGGACTTTGCTTCTCAATTGCCTACTCAGTCC